TTATTGTGTCGTCCCAGTCAACATGGGCGTGAAATCTGGAATCAGCCAATTCATTCTTAAATTATGGCTTAAAACCTATTTCACGATAACCTTTGACCTTTGAGTCAAAAGTGTCACCAGTTCAGAGCCCAACAAACTGTGAAATAAATCACAATCGCCACTTCTGTTCCTGAGTTATGGTGTTGAAAAATTTACATTTCCAGAATATTATGACATCACAGTGAAGTTGACCTAAGACCTTTTGGGTAAAAAATGTCACCACTTCATCATTGTATCCCTTTAAATATCTGTGTGACATTTTATCATAATTGCGATATCAATTCTTGAGTTAGGACCAAAAGACGTGTCATGGTCATTTTGAAGTTACAGTGACCTTTGAGCCAAAGGCGCCACCAGATAACTGTTCGGCCAATTGTGAAATATGGTGAATATAGACAATATATTCTTACGTTAGTAATTAATTCATCCTTGAATCCAAGTGGACATTTGTGCCAAATTATTATATCATAATTTTCTCAAGACATTCCTGGAACATTGTGTTCACATATATAAATATAATAACAATATAATGTTTACTGATAATCTCTCAACCATAATGATGATCATATCAATACACTGATAAAATTACTATCAGTAATACTGCATTACATACATGCATAATTTCCAGTAAATCCCTCATGCACAGGAGGCAATCTGAACCCAGTATGGGAATGGCGGACTCTGCCTCTGACTGTGAAAACTACTAAATCGAGATTTAAAAGACCAGTGTGGGATTTAGTGCTGTCTAGCGGTGTAGCTGCAGATTGCAACTTCCTCGTTTCACCCTCCCCTTTAAAGTACACAAAAAACATGAACGTCTCTATCTAGAGCCAGTGTTTGGTTTGTCCCTTCTGGGCTACAGTACATGGCAGTTCAACAACAAGGCTCATTTAAGGTAACAAAAATACTATTCTTATATTCGGGTAATTATACACAAATATCTGCCAATATATCCTCCTAAATGTTGGACCTTTAATTACAGAATTGAAATACATTCAATAGCTATAGCTGAAAAAATCTGCCAACCATAATCAAAGGATTTAAACTTCTGACCTTGGCAGTGTCAGTGCTCAACCCACTGAGCTACAGGAAACCATGAGGAAGCATTTCATGGAAACAGCTCTATGGGTGCAACATCAGCCTTTCAGTAGAATTTCCACTGAAATACAACAGCTTTTGAACGCAACCATCAATGCCAGTCAACACAACCAGTAAATCGAGAGGAGAAACAGGAAGTTCCACGTCACCAGACCAGCTGGTTACAAAAAATGTGTCAATATGTCAACTTCAAGGGGGTTTCTTGTGTGAAAATGAAAGTTTCTTATTTACAACCACATAAAAGTGGACTTAATTATTGAGCAGGTCTGCACACTGGCTGAACCTGTGTTTGGATTGGAGTTCTAAAAAAATAATAATAATAATACATGTTAAATACTCTAATCATTTAAAATTATTTGAACAGCATACACTAAGTATTTAAATACTTTAACATTAAAGGCCCCAGCAACAACGCCCCCTCATGATGAGTTTTATCTTGACATTGCTGTCTGACACTGTGATCTAATAGCTTAAAACTCCCAACTCCCCTCTGTCACAATCACACAGACTGACAAAAACACCAACACCAAACCACCCACACACACATACACAGTTAACCACAGGCCTGCCTCATCACATCCTGATACGTCAGACAATGTGGACGTGACTGAAGGATTTAAACAGTTGTTTGAACCTGGTCATGTAGCTGTTACGGTTGTCTTTGACTGAATAAGTTGATGAAATATTCTTATTTGCTCTGCCCTCAGCTATCACCATTTTTTAAAGCACCAAGCTTACTTAATCACTACTAAGGTTGTAACTTGTGCAAATTAAGGATTTTGATGAATGCAAGTGTAAGTGTAAAAGTAAAAGAAAAGGTTACAAAAAAGGCTTTAGATTTAAAATCTTAACAGTGCTGCATTCATGAGGATGGCGGTGTCCATCTGAATGTTCTGCACTTTGTCCCAGAGCAAGATATCTTGAATAACTACTGTCTCGCCGAACTACATGAAAGTTTTATCCAGAGACTGATTCCTAATGATTATGGTGACTTCCTAACCTTTCAGCTAGTACCACCATCAAGAAAAAGTAAAGAAAAACTTCCTGCAAACATCAAATAAATCCACAGGTCATCCTGAAATTTACATTCATGCTCCCATGGCGATGACATGCTCCATAGACCGTGTGCTTTTCTCTAGCACCACCCATATGCTATGATATGATGCAGATATGCATTATTTATATATGTATAGGTTATATATATCATATTTAAAACATTAACATAGCAGGAAATAACTATTAGCTATGTAAAGATATAGTGGAATCATGGTGTCACACTCCCTCTGCCTGTGTTGCTATCGCAGCCTCTCTGTGGTTTATTTCCAAAGCTGGTCTGGCCACAACTGCTGTTTTTCTCCTCTACGTTGATTAATTAAAGATTTATTTCAACCAAACCAGAGTTGGTGATTGTTGGAACAGTGTAAAGACTAACAAAGACTGTTTTGGTGAGTTTTATTTTGTTTCTGTCCACTTTGAATGTAGTTACAATGAGGTAAAACTGACTGTTTTGTCTATGAAGTCTGGTGGTGAGTGATAGCAATATTATATTTGTTTTTAGTTAAACCAAAGGTCTATCCTTAGAATAACAATCTGAGACGATGAGTTTTATTTTGCTTCAGTCCAGTTTGAAGTCTGTTTTAGGCTTTATTTGCCAGGTGAAATCACTGGTTTGGTCAATCGAGTCTCACTGTGAACTTGACTGCTGTGACCCCTGGCCTTAAACCATAAACTGTGAGGGCCAGGAAACAAAGGGTCAGAGGTCATATCATTATAAACTAAGAGCACTTCCATGTGCTACTGTTGTAATACTAGCCAACAATGTCAGAGAAACCTTTTAGAAATTACATTGTGTCCACTTATTGCGCCTGGTACTTGTTGTTTTTTGGCATTAATGTTAATCCATAGTTGTTATTATCTAACTTGAATATAGATGATTTATTATTTTTTTCAAGGCACTAAAAAACTAAAAGGAATGAAAATATATAAGAAAAATAAATTAATATATATAATGAATATATTTCATATATTATAAATATATATACTAATTGCTATTTATTTTATTTATAAAGACTTTAAACACCATAAAATAAAACAAAAAAAACAGGCAAAAGAACATGCAAACTGTTTGTGAAGCTGGGACAATGATATTTCAGAATTGTTTATTGCCAAGTAGGTTTTTAAACCTACGAGGAATGTGTCTTGGTGCGTTGGTGCATAAAATATACAAATATACAAATCACTCAAAAATCACACAGAAAAATTAAGTACTTTTAAAATATAAATAAATAAGCTAAGAAAGAAAGAAAACTGCAATGCATATATACAGGGTGGGTATAAGAGTCAGTGTCAAAGGGGGATCCGGGCCTTGTCGATTTCTCTACTGTGTATATTTGGGTCTCTTAGGTCCCTCCTCAGGAAGCCCAGAGTTCAACAAACAACAACATGATCAGATTAGAGTCAGCAGTTCTTTATCAGGGAGAACTAACATTTGATTAAGGAGGAAGGCAAACAGAATTCACTGCCTGAGCTCCATTTTTGGGCAAATGTCTTTGTCCAAGAAGAAGAAAAGAGTCTAAAGTTTGCAAATGTGTTTTGTGTTTTCTTTTAACTTTAAAACAGTGAAAGATTTTCCTTACGCTGTTGCTGCACAGGAAGTGATCAATTCTACATTACCGGCATGTTTGACATGTTGTTCCAGGAAAATTTACATTCACAATTTATCTTGAAACAAGTCTGAGTGAGGCCTCTGCTGTTAGAACTAATATTTCACATCACATCCAATCCATGTGTTTTAGTTCAGAGCAAAGAGAGAGTCAGTTATTTTGATCTCTACCATCTTTTCTACAGAAACATTTTGAGGTCAGTCAGGTGAGTCATATCGGAGTTGCAATGTCTGCAACGTCTGTTCCTCTGCAAATTGATAAAGTATTCAGAACTAAAAATGACTACATCCCAAATTCAATATGCTTACTGACAGGAAGTAAGAGTTATTTTAGAAATGGTTGATAAAATGAAGAATCTACACTGTAAACCCTAACAACATATAATAGAAGAAGTATGTTTAAAAAAATGTTGAGTCACTCATTCATATGAATTAAACCCAACTTAATAATGAATTGTTGAAGCAGCTCATTTGTGCAAATGGTCTTCCAGTGTAGTATAAAAAAAAATCAAATATAAGGCACAACAATTAAATAATAAATACTTTAAAACATTACACACCAGAGACATAAGATGTACAGTATGTATGTACATGTAAGGACCAGTGTGTAGGATGTAGCGACATCAAGCGGCAAAGTCGCATATTGCAACCAATTGAATACCGCCCACCTTGCAATTATTCACTTTATCTTGACATTGCTGTCTGACACTGTGATCTAATAGCCAAAAACTCCCAACACTCTGTCCCAATCACACAGACTGACAAACACACCTACACACACACACACACACACACAAACAATTAACCACAGGCCTGCCTCATCACATCCTGATATGTCAGACAATGTGGACGTGACTGAAGGATTTAAACAGTTTGGGGTTTTTTTGGAGCAGGTGGGTTTTTGTTTGAACCTGGTCATGTAGCTGTTACAGTTGTCTTTGACTGAATAAGTTGATGAAATATTTTTACGTGCTCTGCCCTCAGTTATCACCAGTAGAGCCAGTGTGCGGTTTGTCCATCCTGGGCTACTGTAGAAACATACTCGTATGACTAACTAATGAAAAGTTTGCATGTAATCTTTTTGCAACCAACAAGCACGTCTCTATTATTTCATTAAGCCTCAAAAAGCACATATACACACTGTGGACTTACCATGAGTGCATCCGAGGCACACACACTGTGGAAGCCATGGTAAAAGGCAGCAAACTGTTTATAAATGGATTTATTCAGCAAGAAGTCGATGTAGAGCTGGACATACTCTGTGGAGAGAGAGGGAACAGAACAGCGTGATTTTCAATATTCCATTACAGACCTTTACCCATTTACCCTCCAGCCTTGGTCCTCCCAGGAGCACTGGCAGAGAGCTGGACCTGGACGGCTGCTAGATGGAAAATTAGGTTTAATAAGAGGAAAGTGAAGGTAAAGTTTATGTTCTCAGCTCGACTTCATCTTCTCAAAAAGAACAAAGAAAATTTTCGAGCTGAGCCAGGCTTCTGTGTTGCTGCTGGCAAGAAGTTAAATAGCACAAGGGGAGGATTTAAACAGCACAGTTTTCTTTAAAGTGCAGTGTTAAAGGACCACCTTACTTATATTTACACCATCTGTACCCATCGCACGTTTCACCAATGTGCTTAAATTCAGTAAAGAAATCATGGGTGTTGTAGGACATTATCTGTGCCCCAAGGTAGAATACAAGGAAAGACAGGGTGGCTGCCACATGCAAGGTTGTAATTCCCACTGGGGAAAATGTTTTCCTTTGTCACTGGTTTTAAGGGTTGCCAAAACTCATGGAAGGTCATGAGGCCTTCTTGAACGGAAAATACAATAGAATAGAAAAAACTTTGGGCACCCAGTTAGCTCAGTCGGTAGAGCTGGCGACCCATGTACGGAGTTGCTGCAGCAGCACAATGCTACAATCTGTTGCTTCACAGAAACAACCAAACATGCATCAGAAACCTATCACAAAATCAACATAAAACATCTTAAAACATGAAAGAAACAGTGACAATACAGCAGCTTAAGAAGAGACAATAAAAAACTAAATAAAGAATTAAGTGCTACGGTGCTGGTTTGTTTATTACACATTGCCCTTCACGCACTAAAATACTGTGCAGTTTATCAGTTGTTCTGTACTGAATGAAATATCCATAAAATATATCACTTAGTCAGGGGTCATAGGTTTACTTGGTGATAAAAAAAAGGGTCCCTTAAGGAAAAAGGTTAAGAACCAGTGGGCTATGTAATGAGTCTAGAATAGGTGGATGGCAGTGACCTGCAGCATATGGTATAGGTTGTTATTTGGAGGTAGCCATAAGCTGTGGGGGTCATTGCTGCCCCGTATTCAATATACAGAACCTTGGCATCAGAAAGTCCCTTTAGGAATTACCCAAGGTTCCATTCACTTGTACTGAGGTGTGTTTTGTTTTAAACATTAAGTGCAGGTTCATGTAGATGAACCCCAGTCATTCACTGCTGAATACATTTTAAAAAACGTATGTGAACTCACCCTTCCTGTTCTGTTTGGTGACAGGGATTCTGTCTCCTCCAGGCTTGAGGTTGTAGGATTTGACCACGCCCATTTCCTCCTGGAACACCTACAACATACAGAAAATATAATGTAACATAGGTGATGTTTTGCCGGGACTTAAAAACCATTCATTACCTAGTAAAATTTGTACAAAAACTGTACAACGCTACATTTAAAAGGCTCTTTTATCCAAGACACACACTCACAACGATGGCAGTGAGCTATGACGCAGAGTGCTAGAGCCGGGGATTGAAAAACTAATTATAACGAATTATATAAGAAATAGTTCCAGTGTAACAACTTTTTGTTTTTACACATCGGTTTTGGTAGCATTCTTAATGTAGGATAAAATGTAGTATTGTAGTGTTATTAACAGAGGTAAAATATTTCATTTCTGCCACTAGGGGGTCGCTCTCATCAAAACAATAACAAAAGACAAAGTTAGATGAAGTAGCGTAAGGATCCTGGGAGTTGTTGTCTTCGCTGCCATTGCAGTCAGCTTCTCCCNNTGGGATCATGGGAATTGTTGTCTGAACCATCTATGCTGTCACTGCAGTCAGCTTCTCCCGGTTAGGATTCCTTCAGTGTTTATGGTTCAGGAGGTTTCTACCGGGAGCACAGTTATCCACATCCTCTCCAAAACAAACTGATCCGGTAATTAAAACCAGTAAAATCACTAAATAAAGCAGTTCCACATAGAACATACATATACATATAACATGTACAACCATGTCTATAAGGTTAGCAGGCTTTTGACCAGCAGGTCGTTGATTCAATACCTGGACTAACAGGCTAAATCTAGGAGGGGAAAGTGAAAAAACATTGATAGCCCCTCCCTTATTACCACCACTGATGTGCCCTTGAGCTAGGCCGTTAACCCCAACCACTCCAGAGGAGCTGCTCAGTGGCAGCACATCAGACTGACTGAGGTTGTACTGGGTAGCTTCCAGGTATGAATGTGCAAATGTGAGAATGTGACCTGCAAAAGAGAGGCTTCCTCTCAGTGAACCTTCACTGAATGAAATAAAACTATATAATAAAAAGAGACTACAGCTTCATATTTAGTAGTATGATCAATCCTCCCATGTAACTTTTGATAACAAGAGGAATACGCATATTTTGCAAATGTTATCAGTGAGGAGACTCTGTCTCAACACTTCATATGTAATATAGAAATAAATTTTGGTTAGAATTAAGTTTAGGTTAGGTTATGGTGAGCTGAAAATAGAGGGGTGTAAATACAGTAAAAGAGGCACACACTGATGTACAAACATACAGAAACAAACTGAGGCGTGAGGTGAGTGGATCTCTCTCTCTCTGTAGTTTTTATTGCTCTCAGTGTACTGCAGGTCAGCCAGTTCGACTGTCCCACAGTGGTGTGACTGTGAGTAGCATATAGCTCACAGCTCACACTGTGGGTTAAAATAACACCTCCACTCAGGCTCTTACAAATGTTTCCTCTTACATATGTTCCGGCTGCATATATATCCCCAGTGCACCATAAAGTATTCCATTATATCTGGTTACTGCACTCAATAGCAGAGGGCAGCCCCGTCTGAGCATCATAAAACATGCACATGTCATGTTGCTTAAATGATTACAGTGGACCCAAATGATTGAATTTTGAAGCAGCCTTAATGACTTGTAATGAAATGTAAACTTTCTGTGTTTACAGTAAATGTATTTACAATAAAGTGCTACATAAGTCTGTGGGAAAATACTTCATTGTTATAGAACACAGATAATCATCATGTGTATTTAGTTCCAGGAAGAAGTTTTTATTTTCTGATGAGATGAGCAGTTTGAGGGCATTCCTGCACTAAAGTTTACCTGATAATCAGTACAGATATCTAACCAGGAAATTTAACTTTGTTGGGGCACTTATGGCCATGAATTCAGTCTTCAGTTTAAGTGAAGGAATAAAGCCGTCTAACTTTACTAATTAATCATCAGCTGAGACGGTGCCAGGGTTTGAAATAGACAAAAGAGACATGAGCTCAGAATTTTTTTCTGTAAAAATGTATATGTTTTTTTTATTTAGATTAGCAGTTGCAATGTTTTCCATATAAGACCAACATTTTATAATCATTGTCATTGAATGCAGCCTACGTCTGTTCTGTCAGAATTTTTCGGCGAGAGCGATTAAAAACTCGTTTTTTTGTTGTCCCAGGCTAAATATTCTCTGAACAGATTTATTCATAATGTCTTTTGCAAGTAGACTGGTGCATTCATGTACATGCGTGCATGTGTGCAACAGTAGAAATAAATAGGGCAAAACAGTATAATACTGTTTCCATTGAGTTAACAAACATCCATTATCCATAAAAATAAATCCATAAAGGAAAATAATAAGACTGGGTACCTTTTTTTGTTCACTGTGTTCTAAACACAGGCACCCATGCTTGCTTGAATAAACTAAAGTCTAAAATTGGCAAACTTTTGATTTAAATCAGGAACTATCTGATCAAAGATTAAGTCAACAAGATCTTTGATACTCTAGGTGCTAAAACACATCAAGTATTTTGTAAGAATCTGTTCAATATTTGGAACCAAGCTGTCCATGCTTATCGGAAACCCTACATTTTGATCATTAAGTAACGGACCATTTGTATGTTGACTTTGACTGATCTGCTGTATGAGATCAGCAGGACTGATCCAGATCAGCGTGCGGTCTTTATTAAAATAGCACAACAGTGACAGCAGTCACAGCTGTCTGTCAACACCGTCAGACCTGCCAAGCCACTTTAATCACGACATCTGAGGTTTGAGTGTGTGTGCCCCGACCCTTGAATAGTTTTATGTAGTCAGATCTTTCTCACATCATTAACAACAGTGATAAAAAAATAAGAATAAAAAGCTGGTAAATATGTAATACTTTTCAGTTAAGTTAAACATCTTACCAAGCATATTGGTAATGCTGAACTAAATCCTGATTAGTATTCAATTCATTCAAAGCTTTCTTCATCTAAGTGACATTTTCTTGATTTGTTTCTACTGTTATACATTGAAAACGAGTACAAATGCCTGTAACAAAGAAGCTCTTTCCTTTGCTTCAATTCAAATATGCCTTGCATCATGAACCTTCTACCCGAGCTGTAAATGTATCTTGATACCTGGAAGGTGAGGTAGAAGTCTTCCTCTACGTTTCCCTCGTAGCTCAGCAGCTCTCCCAAACCATGAGCCATCTCCTGCAGACAGACACAAGAGTTTACTGTTTCAATCCCAAATCAACTGCAAGAATTGTCAGTGTTTCCTCCCATAAGAAGAAGCATACGTGTTTTCAGCCTACAGTCTCGTATCTAATAGGTTACTCTTAGTTATGTCACTACTCTACTACACTTAAGTAAGACACCAGTGCTCCACTTGGTTGTACAGAATCATGTATTTGATGAATAAAGTTTGAATATTTAGCTTGTCAGGGGTCAATAGAGTTATGGCGCTGACGCATACTGCAGGCCTCATATCTGATATCCTGCTGTTACACAACCACAGGGCCCGTTTTAGTATCCCGGTGTGTGTGTGTGTGTGTG